ATATGTACCTACATTCATTAATACCAACTACATAAGCTTCAAACTGTGATTAATTGCGTTGTCATCTTCATAAATTCAAAAGTGGAGACCTACACAAATCTGTTTGTTCAGTAAGGGTTCTATATTTTAAGTTTTTAATTGATTTATTGATTTCCATGGCTTCCAACAAATTCATTTTCTTTCCTTTACTACATGTGTGTAAGATTTTGAGGTTTTCCTTATTTTGTGGTTTGTTTCTTGTAGATGTTCGTACATAGAAGATTTTTTGTCTACACCGGCATGTGAGACGTGTGAGAATGGTGTAAAAACCGAAACCTTGGTCGTATTTATATCAATACATTAAGTAAGTGGAAATTAGACAAAGTATTTTATCTATATCATTTAATTGAATAAATAATAAACTTGAGCTTACTTTCAATAATAAACTTATTACATATAAGTCTAGAATTGTTAATCACTTCACAATGAATTTTTCCTGGGAATTGAAAAAGTCAACCCCAATATTGATGAACTTAAGTTATCCCCCTTTCCAATATTTCATTTTTTCTGTATCCTACAACCTATATTAAAGTGCAAGATATAATTATGAAAACGACAAAAACATCAACGCCTGAAATAGATAAAATTCATGGTAAAGCTTTGAGAACTGTAAGTGATATAATTTATATCGCATATAATAGATAAATCATTCATAGAAGTAATATATCCGGAAGCATTTAAAATGTCGAAGTCGGTCCATATATATAAAAATAAAGGCCCTAAAACTCAGGTGGCTAACTACAGTAATGTTTGCTTACAATCAGAAGTTGCAAAAGTCATCGATTATAGTTATTATCTGAGATTGGTGAATTTAATCGAGTACCACAAACTTATTCCTAATTGCCGACATGGCTTTAGGCAGCAAAGATCAACTTCAACAGCAATAAATGAACTTTGCAGTAGCATATATACAAGTCTCAATAACAGGCAAATTCCGGTTGACTTATTTTTTGATTCAAGTAGAGCATTTGATATGGTGAACCATAGCTTACTTCTGGAAAAACTGCTCAGAATTGGAATCAGGGGAGTTGCCAATGACTAGGTTGCCTCATATATAAAAAATAGGACACAAGTGGTAATGGTTGATTCGATGAAGTCACATCCTGCTTCTGTTACAATTGGAGTTCCGCAGGGTTCAATCCTGGCTCCAATTCTTTTTATACTCTTCATGAGTGATATAGAAAACTCAAATATGTTACAACAAAAAACAATAATCTATGCAGATGACACAATTCAAATAGTGGCACGAAATGAGTTATCTCTTTCCATAGAAGCAGCAAATGCGGTATCACATGAATTCTCCAAGTGGTGTAAAAATAATGGGTTAACAGTCAATGTCACCAAAACGGTATTTATGATTTTCCAGCAGAAAAACATTTCCTTTGATTTTTGTCCTTTTATAAAATTGGATAGCAAGTCCATTGAGCATGTAAGTCACTTCAAATATTTAGGTCTAACCATCGATCAAAAACTAACATGGGAAGGACAAATAGAAAATATAGTAACAAAACTGAGCAGCATATGTTTTTTAATAAAACAATTACGTGGAACTGTCTCACTGGAAGTGCTAAAATTAATATACTATGGACTTGTGCAGTCTATTTTATCTTTCGGAATGCTCTTCTGGGGAAACAGCTCATGCCATGAAAGCATTTAAACTCAAAAAAAAAAAGTGATAAGATGCCTAGCTGGACTTCAGTATGAAAAATCATGTAAGAACACATTCAGTCAGCTGTCCGTACTTACTCTTTCCTGCCTGTACATATATGTAATAGTCGTAAATATAAAAAAAAAATGAAGCTCACTACACAAAAAATAATGTTACAAGAGGTAATAGCAGTGAAAAACTCTCTCCGCGGCAAGTATCAGTACAAACTTTAACAGATCTGGTCATCGGAACTATCGGGGAAGAACAAAGTTGCTGCAACAAATATGCTTGCCGTTCTAATTTTACTCTATGGAGTAGTGAAGTGGACTCGGGAGGAGCTTTATCAACTCGGCGTAAAGACCCGAAAAATGATGCATCTCTATAGGAGTTTGCATCCCAAATCGTCCGTTTCACGGTTGTACTTTTCCCGACAACAGGGAGGCCGTGGACTTTTGAGTTTGGAGTGTCTACATGACAGAATGGTACTGGATACAGCCTGTAAAGTCGTCAGGAGTTCGGATCCCCTTCTCTGCATGGTCCGTGACTATGAGAGAGCAGTAATTGGAGGGCAGCTGCCCGAGCAGCTGATGAACTCGGTACAGTTTTCGACACTGAACGAGGTGACCACAACTCTGTCACCGAGTTGGAACCTGTTCAGCAAAAAGCTCAGACATAAGCCGCAGAGATCACCTTACTTCTGCGGAAACACAAGGATAAGCATGGGGTCTTCTTCAATAACATTGGAGACCTTGGCTTATCAAAGTGCCTGACCTTCGCTTTTCTCAGGTCGAGTGGGTTGAAGTCGGAAACTGAGGGGTTCATCATGGCTTGCCAGGATGGTGTCTTCAACACCTCAGTCTACCGCAGTCGCGTGATGGGTATAGAGGTTCCTGACACAAGGTGCAGGGCCTGCCGCGAGGCGCCCGAGACCCTAATGCACTTGCTATCAGCATGTCCAGCATATGCGGTCTCGGCATATATCCATCGACATAACGCGGCCCTAAGAGTGTTATATTACCATCTACGGTACTTTTACGGTATTGACGAGAAACCGGTGTTGCCCTACGGTCCGGGGGATATTGAATCCGTTGTGGGGAACGAGAAGTGCCGAATTTATTGGCACTTCGTTCCCCACCCTCAGGCTCATACAAGCTAATAAGCCTGATGTAGTCCTTCTCGACCACCAGAGCAAAACGATATTTGTCGTGGAGTTTTCAGCGAGACGAATATCGTCAGAAAAGAGGAGGAAAAACGGATTAAATATCGAGATTTTCTCTTCGAACTCCGCAGACTCTATCCAGATCACTCTGTCAAGATGGTTGTTCTGATTATTGGAGTCCTTGGTGGAATGATGTCCTCTCTACTCTCGAATCTTAAAATCGTACCGGCTTGCCGCACTAAGGCAGAAATCTTAGCCGCACAGATGCAGAAGGCTGTCATTCTTGGCTCACTGCGCTTGCTCAGGGCACATGATTCTTGGACCCAATGATCACTTACCCCACGGTGTGGGGAGTAGTCATTGGTTGATAATGCTGGCGCGCCCTCCCGAATGTATCGGGGCTTCGGGGGATGGGCTTGACCAGCGCACACTATAATATTAATATATTTCAGAGAATGCTCTACATTTCATAAAGAAAACATCAAACATAAAATGAAACAACGTCACACAATTTCTATTTATAACTTATCTAAATATTCCTGAAGTGAATAAGGTTCTAACTTGATCAAAA